TATATATATTATATATATGAATATATAAAAAATATATCAAAAATTGATGTGGGTACTCAAATGAAAGCTCTTGAAGAGTCTAACATCAAGATGAGCTTATATCGTTGAAAACATCAATATTAAAGAAAGTACCGTGCAATTTAACAAAATTCATTTTTTAATAAAATTACAATCCAGATATCACTGAGTATAATCTAAGATGTTATCCAGTGTCATCTTATTCTTTCCGTGTGTTTATATTATTTTTTCTTTTCTATAATTTTACTAATCACGCTTTATAAATTAATTAATTAAAAATTGACTAAAATGATGATTTATAAATATTATAAATATTTATATATATGTACGCTCCGAAGACAGTATTACTGATCAGCAGAGACTATTTGTTGTTGCCATACTTTTAAAAGCCTCGATAAATATTTTTAAAATAAAAATCTATTTCCCCGTTTTATTTCAAGGGGCCTAGTTTTGTTGTAATTATATTTAAAAAATAATAATAATAATAATAATAATAATAATAATAATAATAATAATAATATTAATTATAAATTCGTAATGAAATAAAATAATAGGAATTTCAATATCCGATATTGTATAATAAAAAAAAATATTAAATTTGGACGCTAGTGATTTTGTTGTAAGTGTCCGTAAAATTGTTTTTAAATCATTGGAAAGTTTTATTATTATAATAATAATATTAATTATAATATATTAAATTAAATACTCAAAAGTTAGGAGAAATATTTTTTTTTTTAATTGTACTTATATATCAAGTGACAAATTTTCAAAATGATAAAATTTATTTTTTTTTTTTTCAGTTTCAAAAAAAATTTTTTTTTTAATTTGTCACTTGATATTTGCAGTATAATTTTTTTACTGCGTGATTTTTTTTCTACATTTATGTATATACCTTCGTGCAGTAATTTTTTTTTATAAATACATTAACAAGAAGTCTAATTATATAATAATAAAAATTAATTACAATTATCACTGTGAGAATTTATTACTGATAAATAAATTCAATATTTTATATTCCAAATTGTTGTAATCTATACATATATAAGAAATGACCTTGTATCTTGTGAATTATTGACATTTTTAAAGATATAAGCTCATCATGACTTTACGCCTTTAATTTGAGTACCCACATCAATTTTTCATATATTTTATATATTTATATATATATATATGATATATATGTATATATGAAAAATATATCAAAAATGCATGTGGGTACTCAAATGAAAGCTCTTGATGAGTATAACATCAGGATGAGCTTATATCTCTAATAAATGTAGTACATATGTATATATATATATATATATATAAGAAATGTCCTTGTATCTGGTGAATCATTAACATTTTTAAAAATCTAAGCTCACTGTGACGTTATACTCATCAAGACCTTACATTTGAGTACCCACATCAATTTTTCATATATATCATATATTTATATATATTACATATATGTATATATGAAAAATATATCAAAAATGCATGTGGGTACTCAAATGAAAGCTCTTGACGAGTACAACATCAGGATGAGCTTATATCTTTAAAATATATGTTATATATATGCATATATAAAAAATATATGAAAAATTGATGTGGGTACTCAAATGAAAGCTCTTGATGAGTGTAACATCAGGATGAGCTTATATCTTTAAAAAGGTCAATATTTAAGAAAATACATTACAATTTAACAAAATTCATTATTTATTTATAATTCTAAGTATTGAAAAAAAAAAAATTAAAATGTTTTATTCTTACACTTGAAATTAAGAAACTTGTACAAGAAGTTAATTTGTTTTTTGATACTATGCCAGCGAGTGGGTCTGGCAATGGGGAAGATTCCCCTGGACCAGATCCTCTTCTTCCTAAGTAGGACTTGGTACTCGTTACCTTTGACACCTCTTAACCAGGCTGGGACGTTGTAGAGGATCCTGGTGGGATGGAGATCGTCGCTGCCGAGGATGTCAATGTAGTCGTTCTGGCCAAACAGAGCTCGCTTTTCGTTCCAGTGGTCTTTTGGACGGTACACTGGAAGTTCTCTCAGTCTGTGTTCACTCTCGCGAGGCAACAGTCCTCGAGCGTTCAGAGGGTCTCTGTAGCCGTAACGTCTTACCAGTGGACCCTTGGCTCGTTTGTCTGCGTGGTACATGTCGAAGTTACGCGCTTGAGTTACTTGAGGCAGCCAGGGTGTCATTGACGACAAGATACGCTTACTTAACCACGACATTCTAAAAAATATTTTCATTTTTTTATTAAAATTTATTTTCCAGATATTTTATAATTTTATTAATAAATTATGAAAAAAAAATTGACTTGTAGAAAAGAAAAAAAAATAAAAAATTAAATTTTTTTTTTGTTAGATAAAATTAAAAAAAAGTTAATTAAAAATTAATTTAGCAGATATTTTATAATTTTTTATTGAGAAACAAATTATGGCAAAAAAATGAAATTAAAAATGAAAATAAAGTCAGCCGACATTTCTAAATTTTTAGAAATTTTTTATTGAAAAAATTTCACTTCAAAATTAAAAAAAAAAATTTCACCTGTAAAAAATCTGAAAAACTATAAGTGCAATTTTTTATATCTTTTTAGTTGTAATTTAATTAATAAAAAAAAAATCAAATATTTTTAGACGTCTGCTAACTTCAGTATCATAATTAAAATTAATAGTCATTTAAAAATTTTCTAATTTTTTTTAATAAACAAATTTGCTCCAAAAAATTATTTTAAAAATAGTATTTTTAATTTCTAAAAATTTAAACATTTTCTTGAAAAAAATTAAAAAATATAAAAATAACATTCTTTAATTTTTAATAATCAAATTAAAACAAAAAATATTTTTAAAAATTGCACTTATAATTTTTCAAGTTTTTAACTAATGACAATTTTATTTTCTTTTTTTTTTGTAGTCATTTTTTCAATAAAAAAATTCTTTTTAATTTTTAAATGTCGGCTAACTTAATTTTCATATTTTTTTATTGAATAAAATTTAAAAATTCTCAAGTGACTACTCTAAATTCAATGAAGATTAATTTAGCAGAAATTTTATATTTTTATTTTTTTTAAGAAACAAATTATGGCAAAAAAAATGAAATTAAAGTTAGCTGTCACTTGATAATTTTTTATTTTTTTTTTTTTTTAACAAATTTGTTCTAAAAAATTGTATTTTTATAATTTTTTTATATTTCTGCTTGTCATTTTTTTTTTCACAATTTATTTGTTACAAAAATTATTAAATATCTGCTTAATTGATTTTCATGAAAAAAATTGACAAGTAAAAATTTAAAAAAATAAAAAATTAAAATTTTTAAAAGGTGAATTTTTTGGTAAATACAATTCAATAATAATCAAGTGACTGCTAAATATAATGAAAATTAATTTAATATTAAAAATTCTACTTTTAAAAAATAATTTTTTGGAACAACTTTTTATTAAATTGACATGTAGAAACATAAAAAAATTGTTAAGTGACAGCTAAATTTAATGTCATTATTTTGTTAATTATTAATTTAATAATTATTAATACTGTACCTTGTGGTTAAGTTAATTGGGGTTATAAAGTGTTTTTATGTTTTATTGAGCTGAAAAGACAACCACAGTGTCGCCATCTACACAAATTTTTTTTTCTAATTTATATTAAAATCTGTAGATGGCGACTCTGTTCTTTTCTTTGTAATTGAACAGTTAAGTTTTTCAAAAATTTTTGCAGTTTTGCATGACATTAAATTAAGCTGTGAACAATTTTTTAATTTTTTTTTAACAAACAAATTAAATACAAAATTGCATTTTTTATTTTTAAAAATTTTTAAATGTCAATTTTTTTTGCTATTATTTATTAAAAAAATTATTAAACAGTTAAATTAATTATTATTAAATATTGCTGTCACCTGTCAATTTTTTAATTTTTTTTTTAACAAACAAATTTATTCAAAAATTAAAAAATTGTCAAGTTTATCAAATTAATTTTTGTAAAAAGGCAACAAGTGCCGGGAGTGCGCTTCAAAAATGGCCGTCTCCATGGTTGTTTACGGGGGAAAGTGAAGTGTGAGTGACGCCGGCGGCCCTTGGCTGCCGAAAAAAAATTATTATTGCTAAAATTCGCAATATTTTTTTAATTTATTATTACTCAAAGATCCGGCATGTGTACCGCGATGAGTTACACAGCTTCTCAGGAGTCGGATCTTTTTGATGCCACCGTCTTCGAGGAAATTGGCTCTCACGTGTAAGTTTTTATAGTTTTCATGGCGTTTTTACTGCCATTTAATTTTATTTCATCATTTTTCTAAAAACTTAAACTTTCACTTCTTTTTTTTTTTTTTATTTTTTCTTAAAAATTTTATTTTTAATCTATTTTAAAAAAATTTTTTTTTAAAAATAAAATATTAAAAATTGTTTATTTTTTTTTTTATTTAAAAAAATTTTTTAATTATTTACTCATTTTCTTTAATAAAATTATTTTTAAGTGAAAATAATTAAAAATTTTATGTATTAATATTATTATTAAATTATTATTATTGTTATTATTATTATTTATTGTTTTTCTTTTTTTTTTCTATAGAAATGTCAGCCATATTTTTTTTCCCAACAAAGAAAACATACTCAAGGTCGCTAAAATTAACAATCATAACAATAAAATAATAATAATAAAATTAATAGGTGCTATTAAATTATTTTGATAAGAAAATTTAGAGCAATTGATTAGATAATTAAAAAAAAAAAATTAAATAAATTTATTTACTAAAAAAATATTTTTTTTTAATAAATAAAACTAAAAATTTATTCTTTTAATTTTTGCTCTGAATTTTTTTTTTTTTTTTTTAAATTTAAAAAACAATTTCTTCCCAATTTTTTCATAAATTTTAATCATTAGAATTTTAATAACAATTTTTTTTAATGACAAATAAAACATGTTAATTTTTTTAATTTTTGTTTTGAATTTTTTTTTTTTTTTAATTTTAAAATTTTAATTATTAGAATTTTAATAACAATTTTTTAATCAAAAATAAAACATGTTAATTTTAAAAATTAAAAAAAAGTTTATTCAAAAAGTTTTAGTAATTTAATAAAAAAAAAAATATTTTTTTTTTTATTAGAAATTAAAAACTGTATATATTTTTTTTTTATTCTTTAGAGATTTATCAAATTTGCCGATTCTGGAAAATGAAGAGCAAGAAGTAATGGAGAAAAAATACCAATTGAATCCTACCCAGGAAATGAACAATTCTGGAGCGGGTCTAGCGATTGACCCGCTGCAATTTGGTCCGCTGTCCTCAGCACCAATTATTGAGGAATTTCCTGGGAAATATAATTTCGAGATTCTTATACCTCAGGGTAGAGGAAAAAGTAGTGTAGTAAGTTTTATTTACATAAATAATAAATTAAATAATTAGTAAGATAAAGGCACCAATTAGTGACAGTGATCCAATTATTGACACGCTATTTTATTTTAAATCTTATTTATCTACAATATTAATAACAATTTTTTTATACACTATTTAAAAAAAATTAATGAGAAAGATTAATTAATTAAAATAATAAAGTTTAGTATTCTTAAACTAGTGAAATAAACTAGAAGTAAGCACTAAAATTTCCAGATTTTTAATTATTTTTTAAACTAATCAAATTAAACATTTTTTTTTAATAAATAAATTAAGTATTAAAAATTAACAATATCGGATATTTACATTCAACTGAATGGTTATTAATTATAAAATAATTGGTGTCAATAATTGGTACACAAAATATATGGATGTGATATTGACAGGTGAGTTTATACCAAGCTGTAACCTCTCCAATCAGACTTTACTTATTGTATTTAGATCAGATTAACGGTGACAAGTAAGCATTAAGGGTGTCAATAATTGGTCCAACGGTATGTCACTAGTTGGATCAATCGATTTATCAGCCTGTCAATAATTGGTGTATCCGGATGATTGACTTTGTCGATTGAAATTAATTATTAAACTTAAGAAAATATTATTAAAAAGCATTTATTTTGTTTCTCTAAAGATTAATTAATATAATGTAAAACAAAAAATTGGACAATCTTAATTTAAAATATGTTTAAAAAAATGAAATCCTAACTTTTGTTAAATTGCACTGTACTTTCTTAACTATTGACGTTTTTGAAGATATAAGCTCATCCCGATGTTACACTCGTCGAGAGCTTTTATTTGAGTACCCACATCAATTTTTCATATATTTTATATATTTATATATATGTATATATAAATATATGAAAAATATATCAAAAATGCATGTAGGTACTCAAATGAAAGGTCTTGATGAGGATAGTGTCAGGGTGAGCTTATATTTTTAAAAATATCAATAATTAAGAAATTAGCTTGTATTTTGTGAACTATTGACATTTTTAAAGATATAAGCTCATCCTGATATTACACTCATCGAGACCTTTCATTTGAGTACCCACATCTTGTAAACTATTGACATTTTTAAAGATATAAGCTCATCCTGATATTACACTCATCGAGACCTTTCATTTGAGTACCCACATGCATTTTTTATATATTTTTCATATATACATATGTATAATATATATAAATATATAAAATATATGAAAAATTAATGTGGGTACTCAAATGAAAGGTCTCGATGAATGTAACATCAAAATGAGTTTATATCTTTAAAAATGTTAATAGTTCACAAAATACAAGCTAATTTCTTAACTATTGATATATTTAAAAATGTAAGCTCACCCTGAGATGACACTCATCAAAAGCTTTCATTTGAGTACCCACATGCATTTTTGATATATTTTTCATATATTTATATATACATATATATAAACATATAAAATATATGAAAAATTGATGTGGGTACTCAAATAAAAGCTCTCGACGAGTGTAACATCATGATGAGCTTATATTTTTAAAATTGTTGCTTTTAACAGTACTCCCAACTCTTGCGTAAAATCTACATCGACATGGAACAACGGCAGCCAATGAGGTTCCAGTGGTCACCACCAGTGGACAACCTATACCTCCGCACAACCTTAGTCTACGCCGAAGACCGGTACCGAGGAGACCCAGTTCTGCGTTGCCACAACCACATCGGAACAGACAGCCCAGCAAACAGGAACATGTCAACAATAATCCTGAAGCAAGTAGTGCGTTGCATCCACCCTCGCAGCTGCTACGAGGACATCAACGGGCACAACTCCGTAACAATTCCTCTGGGAACTCCTCAACCAGGTTGCAATTACGTTCCTCTGGACTTCATGTTCTATTGCAAGAACAGCTGCTCCACTGGAATGAACCGTCGCGCGACTCAGTTGGTCTTCACTTTAGAAACCGAGACAAGGGAAATCGTCGGACGTCGTACAGTTGAAGTCCGAGTCTGCAGTTGTCCGAAGCGCGACAAGGAGAAAGAAGAAGAGACTTTTGCTTCTCGTGGGAAGAAACGCAAGATGAAGAGGATCCCTTCTCATAATATCAATAATATTAATATTAACACCAACGCTAGTCCTAATATCAATACTAATAATATTAATTCCATCAATGGACTCCAATCCCTCCCCTCTTTTGGCTCCTTGGTACCTCAACCACCTCCGGGAAAGAAACTCGCTCTTGCTAGGGACCAGTGCGTCAGTCTGAATCTTAGGTTGCCTTCCAGGGAAATCGCTAAAGCTGTCCTGGAAAGCGCTTATAATATTCTCGCTGGAAGAGCTGCGCTTACTGGAGATCACGCTTTTTTTTATCCTTACATGAAGGAAATTCAGAATACTAATAATTCTTTTGGGAATGATTAATGTGGTTATTTTTTAAGATTTATGGGGCTTTAGGAGCTATTTTTACAGTGATTTTGACCATAGTTTTTTTTGTTGAGTAGAAAAAATTAGCTCACAAATTTAATTCGTCAGAAAGAGAAAAAAAAAAATAAAATTTTATTTTTTTTTACGTAGAAAAAATTTTTTTACAAAATTTTACCATGGAATTTTTTTTAAAGCCACGCGTGAAAAATTTTGAATACACAATTTTGAACTTAGTTATTTTTACCATGCAAATACTGAAAAATTACTGTTATGATTTCTACCATACACGGAAAGAACAAGATGACACTGGATACCATCTCAGATTATACTCAGTGACATCTGAGGTGAAAAAAATTTCAGATGGTAGCTAGTATAATCCAGATTATACTGAATAATATCTGTATTATACTCATTGTTATCTGGATTATACTAGCTACTATCTGAAATTTTTTTTCACTCAGTATAATCTGGGATTATATCCAGTATAATCTTGTTCTTTCCGTGTACTGACTTAAAAAATAACAAAATAAATTTTTATGTGAAATTTTACCATGGAAATTTTTTTTAAGGTAATATTGTAAAAATTTTTGAGACCTGATTTTCAACATTTTTATTTTTACCATGCAAATATTCAAAAATAACTGTGTTATAATTTTTATCATGCTGGCTTTAAAATCCATGCAAGTATTGGAAAAAAAACTATATTACTCAAAAACAATTCCTATGTTAAAATTTTTACCATGTTGACAAAATAATTTTTATAAAATCTAGAAATTTATTTCTTTATTAATTTACGATATTTTTTTGTTGTCATAAATAATTTTTCTGTGTAAAATTAGAAAAATTTCTGTACTATAAGAATTTTTTCCATGTTAAAAAAATTTTTTCTGCGCATACAAAAACTTAATTATGAATTTTTCCCATCGAAAAAATTGCATTTAAAATTTTTTTTTCTCACAAAATAAATTTTTTTTACTATACAAATTTAAATATTAATATGTTTTTTTTTTTAATAAAAAAATTTGAGCAAATTTCTACTCAACAATTTCAAGTTCCGTAAAGTATTCACATTATTACACCACAAATTCAAAATAAAAAAAAAAACTTGTACCTGGGGTACTTGAGACTCGCATTTTTATTTCTGTGAAATTATATATATTTTTATTTTTAAATATTTTTTTTATATTACTTGACTTGTGGATAATTTTACATTACACTATAAATTAATTTTTTTCCACCACAAAATTTTTCGCTTCCGTAAAATTACACATCAAAATAATTTTTATTATACATACTATAAATTCTTCCACTGATAATAAAAAATTTAGAATTTACACAAAATTATACAATTATATAAAATTTAAGTGCCTTGAAAACTGTTGATTATATAAATAAGTAATAAAAAATACAATTGTTGTAATAAACGGCATACTGTGGCCTCTAAGAATTTATGTTATACATATATATACTTAACTATAATTATTTTTATTATTATTGTTTAATGAACTGAGTTTATGCTCAATTATTTAATGTATAATTACATTTAAGCCAGTAATTGTAATGTGATTATTAGTCAGTAATTATTGACTATTTTTTTACTTTTGTATACGAAATAAAGCACTTGTTAACCTTCAATTGCTTTTAAATTGTTCCTTAGATATCCAAGCCCTCTGGTGGAGAAATGAGCAACTCGATATCAAGAACAACAATATTAAAAGCTTGCGGAATTGGTGCTTGGTCTGCAAGTTCTGGCCTTGTGGTTTCTATTCTAGTAATTCGGCGTTTGAGTTTTATTTCTGTGTTCTCAGAACTTCTGCCGTGAAGAATCCACTCTCCTTTAGTTGATACACTTGTCACCCAAGCTGTTTCTTCTTCGTACTACATAAAAAATTGTATATTTTTACATTTTTTTACTATATAAGCCTTGGAACAGCTTTTGCGCATGCGCAAAGCCTATTTTAAACACGGGAACAGGCTTTGCGCATGGGTATCATCTGTTCCATAGCTGGAACTGTCTTTGCGCATGCGCAAGACTTGTTCTAACGTTGGAACAGACTTTGCGCATGCGTATGATCTGTTCTTGGCACTGGAACAGGTCGTGCGCATGCGCAAAGGCTATTTTAACCTTGGAACAGGTTCTGCGCATGCATAAAGTATAGACTTTAAATAAATAAATACTAAATAGTATTAGCATTAGGCCGCTGTCTTGTCAGTAATTTTAACTACAAAATGTTTTTGATATAATCAAAATTATTGTATACTAGTGAACAAAATATTTTGTATCCAATGAGTATTTATTTATAATAATGTAAAAATTTATATATTGTATATTAATCGTAAAATTATGTGACCTTGTTAATGGCTTTAGGTTGTTAGGTCTTTTTCCAAAGAAATTGAATAAATAAGAACAAGTTCTGCGCATGCGCACAAACTGTTCCAGATATGGAACAGATCCCGCGCATGCGCAAAACTTTCTTTAACGTTGGAACAGACTCTGCGCATGCGTATAATCTGTTCTAGTTGCGGAACGAGTTCGGCTCATGCGTGGAGTCTATTATTAGCCTTAGAACAAGTCCTGCGATTGCGCAAAAACAGTTCCAGCGATGGAACAGGTCCCGCGCATGTGCAGAATTTGTTATTGCCAATCCGGAGTTGTAAATTGAATATTGATGAACGGTTACTGATTAAATTAAACTATTATTAGCATTAGAACGATTCTTGCGCATGCGCAAAAACAGTTCCAGCTATGGAACACGTCCCGCGCATGCGTAGAATTTGTTCTTATGAATTCGTGGGTGTAATTTGAATATTTAAAACCGATTTATGATTAAATTAAACTATTATTAGCATTTGAACAATTCTTGCGCATGCGCGAAACCTGTTCCAGCTACGGAACAGGCCCCGCGCATGCGCAAAGTTTGTTTTTGTAAATTTGTGGTTGTAAATTGAATATTTATCAATAATTACTGATTATTAATGATTAAATTAAACTATAAGATATTATTTTAAAAGAAAACTACTTACATGAAAAAAAAATAAATCATTGGAACAATGTATAATAAAAAGAGTATCACATTGGAACTCTAGAGGAACAGGTATAGTAACTTTAGGCCCAAAAAAATGAACCTGAACAACCTGATGATTTTTTCCTAGATGCTCAATAAAATTTTCACAATTAACCGGTTCGTAGCATGTGACCTTGGAACTCAACGGACAGGGAAAAGAGTTTATAACAGAGTCCATAGAACCACCCCAACATGGCGTCGAGGGGGCAGGAACACTTAAATACCCAGAGTTAGTATAAAACTTGCTTAATTGAGGTTCCCGGGCCTTGTGGTTCTCGGAACCGGACAAATCAGCTCTAAGCTCTCCGGTACTCGCAGATTTAGTTCTGTCACCAGTAAATAGTTCCCCGAGCCGCCGAAAGGCTGGTGAGGGCGCTGACGGGCTCAAATATTTTGGATCTTCTGTGGCTAAATTATCCGCAGAGGCAGCTTTGTCGAAGCCACCTAGGAGGCGCGCGAGTCGAGTCTTCATCGCAGCCGGTAATCCAGGATGCTCTTTTTTACCGACCGAGTCCTTACCGACCGATTTTCCAAACAATTTTTCTCTGAGCGACGAATTTACAGCTTCGCCATTTGCTGTAGCTCGGGCAATTAATCTTGAGATGTCTTCTTCGTAGGCGTCGCGGATGTTCCGTTGGATTTGGTCTGCGACGAGACAACGACCTTGGCCTAACCTAATCCTGCAGATGGGGCAGCGAGGAGTTTTTTGGCGGCAATTCGAACACAAAATGTGGCCATGCACGCACTGAGACACTGGCGCTGATGCCGTTTCTAGACAAATCGGGCACTCTAAAGCCTTCACGGTTCCAGAAACTGCCTTGGCTAATTTTCTTGCTAAAGTCGGTAAGGGTCCTGATACTGCAACGCCAAATTCTGAAGTCTCGTCAGCTGTTTCTGCGCAGTGGCGCCATACTTGAAGATTTATCGTTTCGCCAGGTTCGCGTTTTATTAACGATGCGATTTCTTTTACTCTAAGGCCGACTATGTCTGCGTTATTTATGTCCAATAAGCAATCTCCAGATCTGAAATTTAATTTTATGATTAATTGTAATTAATTAATTCTAATTTTGGGGTTAGGATATGCAAATTTCGGTATTTTAGGGTTTTTTTATTACGCATGCGCAAGAACAGTTCCTGCGCATGTGCTGGACCGGTTCCTGCGCAGAAATGTGAGTGCATGCTTGTAAATCATAATAAAATTAATTTTAAAAAAAAATTAATTTAAAAATATCTTAAATACAATAAAAATTTTTTTTTTGAAGCAGGAACTGTTTCGACGCATGCGCAGAGACTGTTCCACGCCATAGACAGTCCTCTTATTATATTTTAAGATTAAAAATAAAATTTAGATCAACTAATCTACAAAAATTAATTAAATTAATAACAAATTAGCTTTTTATTTAAAAAATTGGTGATTTTCTGGCGGGAAAATGATTTTTGGCGCGTAAATTTTAAGCGCGAAATTTTGATTTGAAAGTCACTTATAATTTATAAAAAAATTATAAATTTTTCTGGAAACAAGGTTAGAAATTCAAAATTTTTTTTTCTATTTTTATATTAAATTTTTATCAAAAAAAAATTTTATCAAATTCGAAATCTTTTCTAATATTATAAATTTTAATGCTTAAAAATTCTGCGCAGAAATTTTTTTTCATACAAAAAATCGCCAATTTATTAGTTTCTACTGCGCATGCGCTGGAACAGACCCTGCGCATGCGCAGGAATAAAATAAAATTTTACTTTTAAAATGATAATCTAAAAAACAACTTATCTACACAAAATTATTGTATTATTTGCGCAGAATTTGTTCCGACGCATGCGCAGGATCTGTTCCAGCACATGCGCAGTAAAAAAATTAAATTTTCTTGTTAAAATTACTATCTAAAGTGCAATTTATCTACAAAAAATTATAAAATTACAAAAAAAGTAATAAAATAATTACCTAAGACCCGATTTATCCGCAATGCTCCCAGGTTCGACATAACTTATCCAAGGATAAGGATCCCAAGGGGACCGTGTCAGGTGAAATCCACAAATTTTGTTATTTTCTTCTTCCGAATCATCAATATACAAAGAAATAAATTTTCTGCAGGTATAAACCGGTGGTTCCTCCATTTTTTTCACATAAATAATAAACTAAATATAAAATTTGCAAGTAATACTATGAGCGAACAAGTTAATAACCGACTCTATAATCTTACGCTCTTAGTATAAATGAAAAATGAACAGATTTAAAAGTAAATCGGATCTCGTTCACCTTCACCTACTTACAGAGCCTTGGCATTGATGTAACAGCCTCCTTTTCCTTTTTTCATCGGCATCCGCTCAAGGAAGTAATTTTTTTTTTAAACAAAATAACATTTTTTATAATTTACAATTTTTTTCATTTATTACACTATAAAATTGCTATAAAAAAAAAAATATAAATTATTCGTCTATTTTACAAGTGCGTTTAGGCTATTCAATTATTTCATAGGAAAGTTTTACAAAAAATTCTTAACAGGAATGTTTTCGAGGGGAAACTATTTTAATTTTTATTGATATGCTTGGAATATATTTTTTTTTCTAAAATCAGTAGCTGCTTATTTTTTTTTAGTTATAGAAAAAATTTTTTTTTGTTACAAAAATTTTTTTTAAGGTACTGGTAATTGTCAAGAAAATCTTTAGATAGATATTTTGCAATTAATAATTTGTTTTTTTTTTTTTTTGAAGGGTTAAATATCTAATTAATCAGTAGAATATTGTTTCTAGGCTGTTGTAGACAAGATGGCGGCGGAGTTATAAAATGGCGGATACGGATGCGCGCGCATAATTTTGAATTTTAAAATTAAAATTATTTAAATTGTTCTGGAACACTATATTTATATAAAATTATATTTTGTATTATTATTATTATTACAAAAATTTTGTAAAAAATTATTCTTTGTTCCATATAATTCTTAAAAAAAATTATATTTACAGAAAAACATAAATATAATTTTATGTGATTCCTATTTAAATATTCGCACCAAGTAAAATTTAAGTTTTCAAAAATTCGCGCCAAAAATTTAAATTTTTAAATATTCGCGCCAAATATAAATTTAAATTTTCAAACTTTCGGGCCAAATAAATTAAAAACTTTCACGGGCATTCGACATTTTGTTTTTACACCAGACGGCCATTTTGTCGTCCTAGTTTCAAAACTCCGGTTTTTTATAATAAACTCATTAAAATAAAAGTAATTAAAAAATTTTTTTTTCTAATTATTATCTTTACAAGTTCTTCTTTATTTATTTAAATTTTTTAACTCATAAATTTTTTATTTCGTCCATAAATTCGATGAAAATACGATTTTAAAAAGAAAATTCTATAAAATTTAATAGGCCTTTAAAAAATAACTAAAAAAAAATTATTCTGAAGCTACCCTCATTAATTATCTCTTGAAAATTGATAAATACGTAAATCCTTAATTAATAATAAATTATTTGTACAGAATATTTAAACATTGATTTAAAGTAGTAACAGTAGATTGTACAAGAGCCTTGAGCACCAGGAGGTCGGGGTCTAGGTGGAACTCGGAAGTTTCGATTGCGTTCACCAGAGCTCGGTTCTGCTTCTCGACTTTGGTCAGTACTTCCCGGCAGTTTGCGAACGCGTCGAGGACCTCGAGCTTGTCTACTGGAGTTCTGGGGGTGGTTGAAGAGTGTTCTCGAGGCGGCAATGGCGGGTGGCTGCTAGCTATCGCTCTGGTGTACATTTCTGTAACTGCTCGCAATTTGTCGACCCATTCTTGCCGCGCTCGCGCGTCTGTTGCTCGTAGTTTTATCATATCACCTAGAATTTTTATTTTTTTTTATTAATAAAAATATTGAGATTAAATTATTTTTAAATAAGAAAATAATTATTTTAATATCTTTGGCAAAATAAATTGTTGTAAAATAAAAATAAGAAAAAAAATTGACATTTAGAAATTAAAATGAAAACTAAGTTAGCCGACATTTAAAAATTAAAAAGAATTTTTTTATTGAAAAGATGGCTACAAAAAAAAAGAAAAAAAAATTGTCATTTATTAAAAACTTGAAAAACTGTAAGTGCAATTTTTTAAAAATATTTTTTTACTCTAATTATTAATTATTAAAAAACAATCCAAAAATTAAAAACGTTGGCTAACTTTAGTATCATGAAATTAAAAAAAAAAAATAAAAAATGCAATTTTTTAAAATTAATTTTTTATAATAAATTTAATTGTTAAATACAATTAAAAATTGGTCAGGTGACAGCTGACTTTAATGTTATAATTAAAAATATAATACTATAAAGTTAGCCAACAATTTTAAATTTTTGATTTTTTTTAAATAATTAAATTAGAACAAAAAAATATTTTTTAAAAATTGCACTTACAGTTTTTTAAGTTTTTTACAAGTGAAATTTTTTTTGTGATCCACAGATTCGGTAGAATCTGGCGCCAAGTTCCGTTCAAATCCGTTGTAAACGGAGCGCCAGACTACCGACTGTGTTTACTGTAAGCAGAACGGTATTTTGAGGTTGCAAAATTTTATTTAATTCTACGGTACTTTTTTTTTCCTAAATTGTATATTATAACAGTAATTCATACTTTATTTTACTGTTATTAATTAATTATATTCACTTATAACAATTAATCTACTTGAAATTACTAAATTTAATCAGCACAAACTATAGCAACGCAAAAATTTCGATCCTGACTTTTTTTCGATGGGCAAAGTGATCTGCCACAGACTAAAATATTCGAGAATGCATAGTAATCCTTCATCAGATGGGAAACTACAGTTAAAAAAAAAAAAGATATTTCAGAACTTGCATCTACACCCGCCAGGGTGCGCTGAAATTATTTTTACATAAACTATAGCTTCAAGGGAATAGTTTGCTATAAAAAAAATGCACCCAACGCGAGATTTAAGTTGGTATCAATTGTAAATTTTTATTATAATTAAAAAAAATACTAAAATCCGAACAAAAAAAGTTTCACTGTAAAAAAATCGCGCCAAGTCCACATTCATAAGACTATTAAGAAAAAAAAAATTAGTTTTTTCTTTACAAAAAGATAAAAAATAAAAAAATTAAAAAATCCTCGTAACCGATATAATTGTTTATGATTTTCGGAAATTAAAAAAAATTTTGCTGTAAATTTAAAAATTAAAAAAAACAATTTTGGAACGTACTTGGTGTGCGTCACATTGTGTATTTCAATTTTTTTAAAGCCCTAGTAAATAGATTTTACGAATTTAATTAAAAGTAAAATATTTCGCAACAACGCACACTAAATACGTTCCAAAATTATTTTTTTAATTTTTAAATTTACAACAAAATTTCTTTTAATTTCCGAAAATCATAAACAATCATATCGGTTACTTGGACTTTTTAATTTTTTTATTTTATATCTTTTTGGAAAGAAAAAACTAATTTTTTTTTCTTAATAATCTTATGAACGTGGACTTCATGCGATTTTTTTACAGTGAAACTGTTTTTGTTCGGATAACATTTAAATACATCTATATCAACTTACAGAAATAAATTATGTTATTTAGAAGAAAAACATGCTTACCGTTTGCGTAACTTATAAACAGGAAGAGATTTTCGTTGTTGTTGTAAATTTAACGTATTCTTGTCATTTATAAGCTTATTTTTTTTATTTGTTTCTTTTTCAGTTATTTTATTATTCGACATTTCGCCAAAATTTACAACGGTTGGTTTTTTTAGTGTAAGTTTCAAAAAACTTATACCATTTATCACATTGTATTTGGAATCAGCATTATCATGAACACCCATAATTCACCTAAAAATTTTAATTACTATGAGATAATATTTTTTAGAACAAGTTTAGTTTTACGAGTATAACACAAGCACGTGTTGATTTGAGACTGACAGCACAGCTGTTGCATGCTTATAAAACACCTGTTTACATGGAATTCTTCGCTTTATGAATATGTGCACATGAAAACAGGACTTAAGTTTTTTTGAATTTTCGTTCACTAAATTGACACTTAAATATCAATCATGAGTTGAAAATCAGTCAGTAAATATAAATAATCTTACATCTTTTAAAGAGATTGAGTAGTGTTGCAATATTGAATGTCAGAAAAAGGCTGTCATTAATATACAGGGATAGATACTAAGAATAAGTATGAAATAGTATTAATAGTAATGAAAATTAAGTTAGCTGACATCTGAAAATTTTTAGAATTTTTTTTTTATTGAAAAAATTATCACAAAAAAAATAAAAAAAAAAAATTTCATTTGTAAAAAACTTGAAAAACTGTAAGTACAATTTTTAAAAAATATTTTTTTGTTCTTATTTAATTAATTAAAAAAAATTAAAAAGTTGGCTAACTTCAGTATCATTAATAGTATTGTAATGCGACTGTGATATGAAAGATGAGGTGTGTAAAAAATTAAAAGAGAATAATGTAAATAATTTTTCCTTAATAGTCTTATGAACGTGGACTTGGCGCGATTTTTTTACAGTGAAACTGTTTTTGTTCGGATCATTTTTTCAGTAAAAAAAAATTTTAAAAATTTTTAAATAATAAAAATGATGAAAATTAAGTGAGCCGACATCTGAAAATTTTTATAAATTTTTTTATTGGAAAATTATTACATAAAGAAGAAAATAAAAAATTTCACTTGTAAAAAACTTTAAAAAACTATCAGTGCAATTTTTTAGTTTTTATTTAATAAATAAAAAATAATTAAAAAAGTCGGCTAACTTTAGGATTATTAAAAATGACTCACCAGTAGCAGAGTTGACAGTAAAAGTATTAGAATCTTCATCACTAGGAGCAATGACAGCTCCAGCTAAATAAATAGAGCACCTGGGCCGCTGGTTTTTCTCAGCCTCGCTGAGGAAGTAGTGTAGCTCGCCAGTCTCCGGGCTAAGGATGAACCACCTGAACTGCCACCCTTTCATGGCATTCGTGTACTTGTGCAATTGTCCTTCGTACCGGTGTCTCAACGATGGATTCATTTTGTAAGTATTTTTATTATTTAATAATATATTAATTATTTTTTTGAGGATTTTCAATTATTGTAACTTTAATTAATATTAATAAGTTTTTTTCTGTACACTATTTACACAAGTACTGTTATTGTTATTTTATGCTTAGACTTTAATAATTTTTTCATTATTAATACTTATTGTTTAATTATTTTTTATTTCAATTGTCATTCAGCTTTTATTTATTTATTTACTTTTAGACGTTTTTAGGTTATGCGCACTGAAGGTACTTTATGTGTACAGAGACAATGGAAGATGTAAGTATGTTTATATATAGTGACAGATAATATATCGGCAGTGCTAGTAAGTATAAATAAATTGCTACATAGTTTTTTTTATAATTAAAAAAAAATTAATTTAACAGACATTTAATAATTTTAAAAATTTTGGTGAGAAATAAATTATTACAAAAAAAATTGACACCTAGAAATTTAAAAAAATTAAATATGCAATTTTTTATAAATAATTTTTTGGATAAATAAAATTAAAAAATAATCAAGTGACTGCTAATTTTAATGTCATAAAAAATTATTAAATTAAAATAAGCAGTCAATTTACAATTTTTCAATTTTATTTAACATAGAAATTTTTTTTTTTTTTCAAAAAATTATTTTTTAAAAATTGCATTTTTTATTTTTCAAAATTTCTTCATGTAAATTTTTTTTTTATTAAATTCTTAAAATGATCAAATATATGCTAAATCAATTTTCCTAAAGAAGTTTATGAAAATAAAGTTAGCAGCTACTTTACTATTTTTTTTAAATAAATTTATTCTGAATTTTTTTTTTTTTTTTTAATATTGCAATTTTATTAAAATTTCAAGAAGTCAATTTTTTTTCTTTTTTTTTTGACTATATAATTGATTTTTTGGAAATAATTTTTCAATTCATTAAATTTTTGTAAAAATAAGAAATTATAGTTAGCAGTCAATTGACTATTTTTTTTTCAAATAAATTTGTTCTTAAAAATTATTTTAAAAAAATTGCATTTTTAATTTATGAAAATTTTTAACATGTCAATTTTTCTTTCTAATTTTTTTGACACAATTTACTTCATAGAAAATTTTTTTTTAATTAATTTAATTTCTGCTAAATTAATTTTTAAAAAAATTTTAAATTAAAATTAGCAGTCACGACTATTTTTTTTTTTTTTTTTTTTTTT